TAAAAGACAGAAAAATAAGCTAATCAGACAGTTCTCTAAAGAAGACATAAAAATCCATCAAAAGCAGATGAAAAAATGTTCAACATCCCTTATGATAAGGGAGATGTAAATCAAAGTCACAATAGATACCACCTAACTAGTCAGAATGGTTAAGTGATAATATAAACAATGATAGGTGCTGGCAAAGCTGTGATAAAGAGGAACTCTCCACTGTTCATGGAAATGTAAATTAGTACAGGTGCTATAAAAAAAAACAAAAACAAAATATAGGCTCCTCAAAGACAACAAATAAATATACCATATGAGCCAGCAATTACACTTCTGGTATCTACCCAGCAGTGTACTCAATCAGAAGTATACATGAACATCCACGTTATTGCAGCACTATTCCCAATATGAAGACATGAAACCATCCTAAATGTCTATGAATAGATGAATGGCTTGGAAATGTATGGCACATGGAATACCCTATGGAATACCACTCAGTCTTAAAAACAGTACCCTGACATTTGATAGTAAGTGTATGAATATGAAGACTTACTTCTGAGCAAAGCAAGTCAGTGTATGAAAGAGAGACATTGTATGTCTCCACTTAATATATACCAAATTCCACACTATGGCAGGAACTGAAATATTGGAGGATATAAAAACATGGAAAATGTTACAGATGCTGGATATAGTATGGGAAGAGGATGGGAGCTGAGGAAGGGTGAAAGGAAGAGAAGAGAAAAATAGAGGGGATACACATCTGGGGGATGAAAAAATGGAAAATTGTTCATGATATAGTGTATGACATCTTTAACTGGACTGGTGTGTAGTGTCTTCAGGCAAGGAAAATTCTTTTTACAAGCTATCTTTATGTACAGTGATTAAATGTATAAATATAATTTTTAAAAATAATGAAACTAAAAAATAAATAAAGAGATCAACTCCAAGCCCGAATTTCACTAAGTTCACAATCAGGCTACTTCTTTTTTCTATTCAGGTCACATATGGCCTTTTTGATCCCATACTAAGTGATAAAAACAAATTTTCATCAGTTAATCAGGAGGCTACCAAGGAAAACTCTCTGGCTCATGGAATTATCTGGTTGTTGCTGCGTTTTGCCTGGACATGGGTGGGTCTCTTTGTATCTGAAGATATGCAAGGGGATGAGTTCCTTCAGGATCTGAAGGAAGAGATAATGAAAACGAATATCTGTGTGGATTTTGTAGAAAGGCTCTTTACCCCATCAGGTGTTGCTTTTGGGAATCGTCTGTATTCTCGGAATAAAATAAGGATTTCATTTGCAAATGCGTATATTATATATGGTGATTTCACAAGTGTTTATACACTGATAATAATAAAAAATAGCTATTTAATTTTGGAAAAGGTGTGGATCATGAAAAATCTTCACTCATGAGTGGAATGATATCTTTTCTTTTATACATTTTCCACCATGCTTACTCTATGGAAGCCTCTTATTTTCACACCACAAAAGGAAAATCTCTGGCTCTGAACAATTTCTCAAGACAGTCAACCCAGAAGATGTTTACTTTAGGAAATTCTGGTTGAACTTTTCTAATTGTAAATTTACTACATCATTGTGTAGAGGAACTAAAGCAGGCCCACCAAATTCTTCCCTGGAGTTTATGCCACCTGCTATAGACATGATGAGTGTGTTTGAGTCCAGCTTTTTTGTCTATCATGCTGTGTATGTGGCGGCCCAAGTCCTTCATGAGATGCTTTTTCAGATCATAGAAATGGGACTTCCAGAAGATGCAAACCAGCTTATGATTCTTCCCTAGCAGGTAAACATCCTCCACAACTAGAATATATATCAAGCACCTAATAACATTGGGTGATAGTCTATTAATATACAATATCATTACTATGTTTTCATTTCTCAAGATAATCAGGCTCAGACAAAATGAAAAATAATTTTACATTAGGTCTAAGTATATGGGTAATTGTTATACCTACCTAGAGAATTTTGTCACTGGGGACTTAAGTTTAAAAATTATCCTATCAGAAAAATTCCTAATGTGAAATGTACTACTGGAAAATAGCCAAGAAAAGACTCATGACAAAACATAGATTAAAAATTGGTCAATTTTGCAAAGTATGTGTTTTCTAGGAATGTATTCATTGTTGATAAATAGTGACATAATGAGCATATCTCCCTCTAGTTATTTCATCTAGAGTGACATAGATGCTGTGGCCCAATACCTCCATGTAATGTTTACGGTGAGATCTGAAATCATTTTACAAAATATTCTAAACTGGCTCATTGAAAGAATTCATTTTAGACTTAAATATACATACACTATGTGCGAGAAAAATGTGGGTGGGGACCATGGTTTGATTTTTAAAATATGAAACCACTTATGAGCATATAAGCTCAGGGTATCCTACTTGGTTTATAAAAATGTTTGTATTTTAAACTAAACATACCTAAATCCCAAAATTATGAATAAAATATCTTTATACAGTGAGAACAAATAAATTACTCAAATATGTTGAGTAAAACAAGGAAGTGAAATATATGTACATGTAAAATTAACATCTTACAGTATAGTTCACCAACTAATTTATTTTCCCTTATTGTAGTTTGCATGTGTGCTCCCAGGAGAGATGCAGACAAAGACAGATAGAAAAAGTGAGAAATCACCCCTCTTCTCCATTCTCCTCTCAGGACTTTGAGTACACATGCACATGCACCTGGTGTGTTTTTTAAGCCACAGGATCAAGAACTTGAACTATGTAGTCAGCTATGTGAGATCCAACTGCCTTAGCCATGCAGCTAAAAACCTGTGGTTCTACATCTAATTTCTAATTGTACTAACAATAATACTTGATTTAAACTTTGAGCAAGTTTAAGTTGATTCTTAAAAGGACATGTTATTTTGGGCTAGCAGGTAGCATGGAAGTAGAGGTGGCTGGATCCCACATGGCTGACTGTGGTTTCAGTATCAAACCTGGTGACTTGAATACACATCAAGTATTTCTGTGTACATACCCAAAATACTGAGAAGATGATGGAGAAGGAATTATGACAGGGCCATCCCCTCGTGGTGCTTTCTCACTCTCTCTGTCTTTTTCACTCTGATAAGCACACACAAAGTTTTAAGAAAACTTTAAAAAAAGAGCAAGTGAGAAAGAAGATAAAGAAGAGCAAAGCATGTACTTTTGTCAAGATGGAAATATGAATGTGATTACAGATTACTTAAATTATTTTATTCTAAAAAATATAAACACTTAAGTAGAAGTCATATAAGCAAGAAATACTAATTTCTGCAACAGAATGTCACTAACTCAAACTAGAATTTTATCATTTAAAAAAATACACATTAGAATTTCAAAGAGTAAAATTTATATTTTGTCATTTACTATAAACTGTAATGTCGCAAAACATTAAACAGAATTACAAAAGAGAATAGGGATAGCTCTATGACATGATGATTAAGGCAGCCAGTTTCTAAATGGCCACCTGCACAGTTTGTGTACTGAATCCAGTGGCTTGAGAATCATGTAAGACATGCTTGGATGCATGTCCAAATCAAAAAGAGAAAGATTTGGAAAAGTAAGGGTGATGTGTGACAAGTCTTTCTTTGGGGTCCTTTCTTCTCTCCCTTTCTGTCTCTCTGTTTCTAACAAGTTCATTCACCTACTATGCAAAATAAAAAAGAAAATGCACTTTTCTTGGTTTAGTTTTTGCTATATGCCACATGTGTTCACTAGAGAGATAGAGAGAAGAAAGGAAAAGAAAAAAAGAAAAAAAATCACACTCTGAGTGGCCATGCTTCACCCCCTTCTCCATTCTCTTCTTGAGATTTTTGGGCACACACACACACATTTCTCAAGCCCCCGGTTCAGGACTCACACTGCCCATTTGGTCATGTGGGAGGCAGTAACCACAACATCCAGGCAACATGCTGGCCCTTCTTGTTCTCATAGGAAATGCTTTTTTGAGGTGTAATTAATTTTCATAAAGATTGAACATATATAATACATATATTTGAATGAGTTCAGGCATATGCATACATTTATATAATAGTCTCCATTACACACACACACACACACAAAAGCCCCCTAAACCTATCCATCCATATGGTACCCTTTTTGAAGTACCAAGAACAGCTTCTAAGAAGCACAAACTACAAAAATCTATAGCATTTCTGTATACAAATAATGAGCAGACTAAGGAAGTTTGGAAGAAAGCAATCCCATTACAATAATCAGAACAAATCTAAGATGCCTGGAAATGAATCTAATCAAAGAAGTCACAGACCTCTGCAAGGGAATCTATAAAATACTAAAATAACAACTTGAAAATGATACAAAAATCAGAAAGACAGCCCATGTTTCTGGATCAGAAAAATGTATATAATCAAAATGTCAATTTTACCTAAATTAATCTACACACTTAATGCAATCTCAATCAAATTGCCAGAGACATTTTTCACAGATTTAGAAAAAACATTCATAGAATTTGTCTGCAATCATGAAAGACCCCTTGGTGCCAAAGCAATTCTGCACAAAAAGAGTGGAGTAGACGGCATCTCTCTCCTTGACCCCAAAATATATTACAGAGCTGTGATAATCCTAACACCATGGTATTGACACAAAAACGGACTTTATTAGTCTGGATTTTACTTCCCCTTGTTTTTATGAAGAAATCTCTATTTCACATGAGGAATGACATAGTGACCACTAAAATAAAATTGAGCCTCTACCAAGAAACAACAAACACACAAAAAAATGAAGGATAGGGAGGTAGAAATAGAAGGATTACTGATAGGTATTCACTTTCCACCTCTACATTAAATGCACTCCTAATTTCCTTTATGTGTGTGTGTGTCAGTTTATTTTTTATTTAAGATCTATTTTTTTCTTTTTAATTTTTAAAATTTATTTTCTACATTAAATCACTGTGTATCATTAATGTTTAATTTTTGTCTGTCATCCAGCTTCATCCATTTCTGAGGAAAAGTTCATTTACACATAATACTGGATACAATATGCCCATGGGGAAAAAAAGAAACCATACAGCACAGTGTGGTATCTACAACTTAGTGAGGTTTCCTAAAGGGAATTTCACCAGTTGGCTGCTGGTTAAAGTAGGAGACTTTGTTTACAGAAACCCCAACAATAATGATTTGATAATCAATGAAGAAATGGTAAAATGGCATGTTAGTTTCAAAGAAATATGATGTCATTTCTACATTACATTTATACAGAGCTATTTGAATAGTCTTGAAGTGAAATTGTGTGATTGTAAGTCAGGATTAAATTAACCTTGTACATATTAACTCTGCACTATGCGATTTTGCTTTTATATATCTTACTCTATAAGTATAGCAAGTACAGGTTTATATAAACTGCCATTTTAAAATTTGGATATATTTGTTCAAAGAAGCAGACCAATGAATAAAATCAAGTTTACTAATTAATCAACAATTACTTAATGAGAGGAATGTGTTCTAAGAAATGAATCATTAGGCAATTTTTTCATTGTGTGAACATCATTGATTGCATTTATACAAATCTAAATGGTATTTCCTACTACAAACAAAAACCCTATGGTCTAGCTTATTACCTCATGGGATGGCTGTCACATGTATATCTTGTCATTGACTAAAATGTTTTATGTCTTTATAAAACACAAACTTTCATATATATGTATGAGTTAAAGACAATCATTCTATATATTCTGAAACTATCATTAATTGCCAGTCTTCATTATACTTCAGTATACTGCACACACAAGGAGATTACAGATTAAGAAACCCTTTACCTTTCTGTAGGTATCATACTCTTTTTCTTTTGTCATTTTGTATAACAGTCAGCCGTCAACATTTCTTGTACTAAGTATATCAAAACACTAACCATAATCTAAGTCAATTAGGTAAGACAAGTGATTTATAAACCAATCACACTTTGTCACACCTATTGTTTTCATATCTGAAAAGCAGGTCTTACCTGGACTCAGAAACTCAGAAGGGGGTTAAGTATAATTTATGATTCATAGCATGTGCTCATTATTTATCTGTTTGTTCATAATTTTAAAATCTAGCACCTACAATTTTTTGCTCAACCCACTATGAGACAAGGAATAAATATTCTCAGGAACATTTATCCTAAATTTGCCATGTAGGAACTTGCAGTAAAATGGTTTTGGATAAAGTGGTTAAATAAGAGAATAGAAAAACATAATGGGTAGTTCCAGTCATATATGAAATAAAGTAAGCAGGTCACTTGGTAATATTGGTGAGCAGTTTATAAACGTAAAGTAAAGCTAATCATAGATATTCCTGACTGGCTAATTGTGGCCTGGCTCTGTGGCCTGTTGATTAAGGCAACCAGATCTCACATGACTGATTGCAAAGTTTGAGTCCTGGACGCAATGGCAAAAGAAGACACTAGGGACATGTGCATGCATATCCCAATTCCTGAAAGGACAGATGAGTCAGAAGAATTACAGTGTGATCAACCATGCCCCATTGAAGGTGTTTCTCTCATCACAATCTTTCTGTCTTTGGTGAATGCATGCACCCTCTAGCAAAACAAATATTCTTCATGATATCAATAAGATGAAAGGTGGGGAAAAACGAATAATAAATTTTTTTTCAGATTATTTATTATTTGTGCTTTGTATATACTTTCAATCATATTGTTTGGCTTACAATGAGACCATTTCTATATGTGCACATTTCTCCCCAGACCCGTTGATCAAAATATCTTTAACAGATAACACCACACCTCCCCATCCGGTCAATGCTCTACCTCTGTATCCCTTCTCCAAATGTCCTTCGTTAGGCCCCACTCCGCCACATACACCTCGTCTGACATTCACACCCATCTCTTGTGTTAGTTCAACCATTAGTTAGTCAGTTTCAGTCATAAAATGGTTTTTAAGGACAAATTTTGCTCAGAGGTGGAGAGAAATACAGACCTCGCTTCAAATTAGCTGATAATGTACATAATGATGACTGATTTTCTTTTCTGCTCAGACTCCTGAATCTGTGTGTACCCGGGTGTACATAATGATGAATGATTCTCTTTTCTGCTCAGACTCCTGAATCTGTGTGTAGCCAGAGCTGTGGTCATGGATTCCAGAAAATTTACCAAAGAGGAAGACCTGATTGCTGCTTTATTTGTGTCTCTTGTACAGAGAGAGGCATTTCAAATCAAACTGGTATGAAATAATGATACACCAACTTATCATAAGTTCCTTTACTTTCTCAATAAAAAGAAAAATGATGACATTGGAAATGGAATGTAGAGCACCATTATTCTCAAGTTGCATGTTCATTCATAACTTCAATATACTTATAAACACAATTACTATCCTATTATGTGTCAGTCCATTTCTGGTTTTGCTCATCTTATTAGGCTCAGTTGTTAAACTGATTTCAGTGGACACTTTGATTTCCAATCCAGGGCTGGGTAAAACAGTATCAATCTTAGATTTCGTACTGAATTATTCTAAAGTCTACCCATAAAGTCAAAAATGTGTAATAATCAAGGCTTTCTGTGGATTCCTAAAAGGCTTAAAATTGACAGTTTTAAATCCAGATGACAAGCACAAAGGAAGTATATTAAATTATTATGAAAATAATTCATTCATTTTTAATGAAAAATATGCATCTCATTAATGACACAAAACTAATCAATATCTGAACCTTACACTTTGAAATATTATAATATACTAAGGAAAAGACACATCTAAAAATGAAAGATACAACATTCTAATAAATTTCACAATATGACACCTCTAAATATAGCTATTATACAAGATATAAATTCAAGAAATTATATACCAATAATGTGGTATTGACAGATATGAAATGTGGAATGACCATTAAATAACATTTCAATTTTCTAATATGTAAAGAATAATTATTAACTATGACTTGAGTTCTTCCACAAGTATTGTGTAATTTCAGTCCTCATAACACTATAAACAATTTGGGTTTAATCATTAACTAGAATATATAGATATGGGGTCAGCAGGGTGGCATAGTGGTTAAGGCAGCTGGGGCCCACACGGCCAACAGTGTCATTCAAAATCAGACTGGCAGATTAAAGAACATGCTGGGAATGTGAACATGCGTGCTCGGGATCTCAGGAGAGATGGAAGAGAAGGAATTGGGGCATGGTCATACTCCCTGGGGCAATTGCTGACTTTCCCTCTCTTTGTACATCTTATAGCAAAATTTTATTAAAAACAAAAATAAGTACATGTGTTTAGGTGATAAGCCATGAAAAAAATTACTTTTGGCTCTAATAAAAAATTTTCAACATCAAGTAAGTATGTAAAACAGCAAATAAAAATAAGGGAAGATAGAGTATAAGACTCAGAATAAAATTTATGTATGGGGACAAGCAGTTAGCGTAATGGCTATGTCGCTGGACTCCCATGTAGTCAACTGCAGTTCGAGTTCTGGACCCGGTGGCTTAGACTCTTGCTGGGTGCATTTGCGTGTGAACCGAAGATCCTGAGAGGAGAATGGAGGAGAAAGGATTGTGGCATGACCAGCCCCCTGGAGGGTGATTTCTCAGTCTCTGCCAGTCTTTCTGGTGAGCGCACAAGCTCTATAGCAAAAACCGCTCCAAAAAAAAATAATAATAAAAAAATAAAATTTATTTGTTTGTGTGGACCAAGCCTGTCTCAGATAAAAGCCGGGAGCATCTGTTGATTCTAGAAATAGAAACGGGTATTTAAAGAAAAAATTGTGATTTTCTTTCTTTAGCTTTTTATTGCCTCAGTATTAGTTTAAAAAAAAAAAAAAAAACTTTTGGGAAA